GAGAGAGAGAGAGAGAGAGAGAGAGAGAGAGAGAGTTGTAAAGGAGACAGCAATAGTTGCTCATTGTGGTTCGAGAGGCACGGCGGTTGGAGGAGGAGAAGCTGAAGGCCAGTTCTCGTTCCGGTCGATTGAGTCACTCCCTCCTCTTCGTGCTTCTCGACCTTCAAGAGACGACGGATCCTTTGGAAGAGGATGGAAGGGAGAGAGAGGAGAATGGGGCAACAGAAGGGAGAAGGACGATGAGCAACAGCAGCAAGAGCAAGAGGAAGAGGAAGAGGAAGAGGAGGGTGAGGAGGGTGGGGAGGAGGAGGGTGGGGAGGAGGAGGGTGGGGAGGAGGAGGAGGAAGAGTTCGAGACAGAAGTTCCGATTCCCATGACCGTTCTGACTTCGAGGAGACATACGAAACACAGGAGAAAAGCTGAGGGCATACACGCACTCTACCGGCAAAACTTTTTCTACTAAGCACTGGACGTAATTGCAGGCAGATTCATCCAGGTTTGGCCGTAATTGCAGTCACACACATTTAAGAAAGTGCTAGTGTGAATACTCGTTGAGAAGGAAAGCGGTACCGAACTACATTCGAGGAGCCAGAAGCGGAGCAGGAGGAGAAGTTGAAGAAGAAGAAGAAGAAGAAGAAGAAGAAGAAAGAAAGAAAGAAAGAAACATATGAATGAGTGAGAAGGAAAAACATGTTGAGCATCGGGGTTGACAGCGGTACCAAACGACAACGACAAGGCGGAGGTGGAGCTGGAGGAGGAGGAAGTTGGTGAAGAAGAAGAAGAAGAAGAAGAAAGAAAGTTTAAGAAACTAATGAATGAGCGTGAAGGAAGATGGTGAGCATCGGGGTTGATAGAGGCACCGAACGACAACGACAAGGCGGAGGTGGAGGAGGAGGAGGAGGAGGAGGAGGAGGTGGAGGTGGAGGTGAAAAAGAAGAAGAAGAAGAAGAAGAAACAAAGAAAGAAAGTAATGAATGAGTGTGAGAAGGACGATGGTGAGCATCGGGGTTGACAGCCGTTTATTCCACATACCATAGCCACTCAGGTCGTCGATTCTGTTATACAGAGACGTCAACAACTCGGTCCTTGTCTCACAAGCGAGCTTGAGCAGCTCCCGCTTTCGTCCGTCATCGATAATCAAGGTAAATTCGAATGGGTCTTCGGACGACACCCCCACATTGACAATGCTGGCATAGGCGACCCGCGTTGTAATTGGGTTGGGAGTCATGGTGGACAAGCTCATGCCATCCGGAAGGAAACGGAGGATGCGCAAAGTGCCGCGCTGCAAGCGCCCGGGTTGCCGCACAAGGAACAATTCGTAATCCATCGCACGGGGAAAGATTTCTGTTTGCCCACCTTCAAGGAAAGATGGCGTCTTTTTGCTGTTTCTGTCGAGCACGACGGACAATCACAATCACACCTGTCGCACGCGTGTCGCACAACAGGCACAGTCAGTCGCCCGCCCCTTTGACAAGGCGGCCAGTTGTCCCGCACGATGTCACACACCCCTAAAGGAATGTTTTTGCCCACGCGTCCCACACGCGTCGCACAAAACCCTCGCTTACTCCGAACACGTCTAAGCCAGGGAGAAGACCAGAGGAGCCGTCGGCGACCTGTGCGACAACCACCCCCCACCAGCGCTCGCTCGATGGCGGCCGGTCGACAGCTCCCGCCTCGTGCCAATGTGGGTCCCCGCCCCGTGTCCGACAAGCAACCTCCTCCCTCCCCCGCCAGACCTCCTCTTCGGCAAAAACTGCGCGACTAACGAAAAACGACAATGAACGCAAACCGGATTCCCCGCGCTTCAAGTCCTGTCTCTTATACACATCTAGATGTGTATAAGAGACAGCCCTTGGATCTTCAGTAACAATATCAATCAACGG